GCCATGTTTCCGCAGGCCCGGTGCATAACCAGCACGTGCACTGGCCCAGGCAGTGAGCAAGGACTGAGCACATTGTAACCTGTTCCGGACACACCAGAGCCGCTGGGTGGAGATGATACCTGTGGAACTCAGAGCAGCAGCGCTACTGACCGCACGATGGGCCGCAATGCATTCCAGAGAGGCTAGCGAGGGGCTCTAAGGAGCGCTCAGACTGTATCTGTAACAGGATGGACCATCCTAACGTAGGAAACTGCAAAGCAGTGCAACGCCGCTCCCGGTAACACGAGAAGACGTGGTGTTTACAGCTCCGAGAACGATGCTATGGGACTTAACCTACCTCAGTTTCCCTAGCTGTCAAATGGGAACAACAACACATCCCCACGTTTGTCAAGTACTTTCACATCCTCTGATGGAAGCGTCTCTGTAAAGGGCAACACGTGGGTATTACTGTGCCTGTCGTTTTTACCCTCTTCCTATTTCCCTCTGATTGGGGACGGGGACGGGGGGGGGGCGGTTTATTAAAGCACAAAATTGTTGCCAGAAATCTTTGGCATACGGTCAAAGAACACACAATGCCTCCGTAATGCATTGGGTTTACAGAGAACCACCTGGGACCAAATACCAGTTGTAAGGAGAACAGGTTCATTCACCCGCTTCTTGGGCTTGATCCTGCACAGCTCCTGCAAAATACGGAGCTGCCTTAACTCCTGTGTTCTCAGCACCTCGGAGGAAATGCTCAGCAGATCTCAGGATCAGGCCCCAGTTCTATTCTCAAGTCGCCCTGCCTCAGTTTCCCCAGCTATCAGGAGACCTGCCTGTGTAAAGCTCCTGTCGCCCCGCTGACGAAAGGCTGTGCTAGAAAAGTGCAGGAGTCCGGTTAATAAAAGCTTCGGCAATAGTGTCTTACCATCTCCGCCTCTGAGGCCGGGCGAGCTTGATCCAGTTTGCAGTAGCATGCGCGCTGGTGAGCAAAACACAGGACTTACCGTGTAGAATCCACAGCCAGCCGCCTAAGCAGGTCCAGGAGACTGGTCTCCACGTCCTCATGTCTCAGTGGAGCGTGCCGAGCAGTGAGAGCTGCGAAGGCGGAGAAATGCGCTAGGGAAAAGGTAGTGAATGGGAAATGCAGGTCTCCTCCCTCCGTCCTCCGGGAGCTGGAATGAAACAGGTGCAATCCCCTGGCTCCCGCCCACGGCTACTTATAGGGGCTGGCAAAAGAAGGCGGGCTGTGACATTGCATCACACCCTGAGCCCCCTCATGTTCTTCCCCCCTGGCCCCCCCACCCGAAAAACCCCTCCCCTAATAGCCTCCTGTTACTGTCCATGTTCCTGGCCAGCCCCTGGGAACACACATTCCTGTCGCTCTCACATGAGTGCCCAGCAATAAAGTGAAGTGTCTGAGCGTCAGCACTCGGCTTTGAGGTCCCGCCTGGCGTCCCTACCGCCCAGGGCTGAGAAGCACACCAGGGGTGCCCATGGTGCCCCACAAGTGACTGGGGACCCCACAGGAGAACACGCCCAGCGGGGGAGTGGTGCCCTGGGTGGCGGTTTAGGGGACCTGAACACTGGGAAGGGGGTGTAAGGGCAGAGACACCCCCCCGGGGGGGCTGGGTGAAATTCGGCCTGCCCCCAGCCCGCTCACCCCCTTTTCTGCATCAGAGACAGGTATGAAAGCCCTGCGTCTCCAGCCTCCCCCCACGAGGGGCTGCCCCTCTGGCAGGGGAGGGGTGTCTAACAAGACCCTAATCAATAGGAGGGCCACAGGCACCAGTTTAGCACATGGGCCAGAGTCAAAGTTAGTTAGGAGCTTAACGCCCATTGGTGTCAATGGGAGTTAGGTGCCTAAAGACCCTTGTGAATCCGGGCCGAGGTCTATGCTGGCCAGGGACAACTAACCCACAGCAGGTCCCACTCCTTACACACAAGGTGTAGCTGGGGCTGGTGGGCTCTGGACAGAGTCTGCTCTAGACCAGGCAGCTGGGGGGGGGTTCTGGCTCCTTCCTACCATAACGACGTGCTACAGCGCCCAGCGTTCAAATGTGGGGGGCACCTGCCTTTGGGGCTGTTCACTCCCTCCACCAGGGAGGCATCACTGGGGCCCTTCTGGAGAAGGTATTTTCCCTGTGACTTTAGCATGACGAGAGGAACTGGAGCAAGCGGATCAGGCTCCAGGTGGTCCCAACTCTGCTGCAGCACTTGGGGTGCAGGGGGTGCAAGCTGAACCAGGCTGCTACCGGATAGACACAGGCCTCTCGGCCCGTAACACTGGCCTCCACATCGGCTCAGTGAAGATCCTTTTCCTATAACTCTGCCTGCTCGCTGCGTCACTTATTGCTAATGAAACATGGTGGCTGCAGTGGGATTTGAACCCAACACTCACAAAGCGGCGGCACCAAATGTCCCTGACAGTGTCAGTGTTGAGGCATGAAGTCAATCCAGCTCTTCTGGCTCTCAATGCATTTCCGTACCCACTACATTACACCGCTCCCCACGCTCTGCATGCACACCTAACAACTGCCGTGCCTGTCACTGCAGTGCTGAGAATGTGCTGGTCCCGCAGCCAGCCAGCAGCTCACACGTCCACTTTGTCATGCAGAGACCAAGTCACAGCAGCGCCCCCAGGGAATGACCATAGGTGATGGAAGAAAGCATGAGGCAGGAAACCAAGGGTATAGGGGACGCCACACAGCAAACCCTGTGAGGAGATGAAATTACCAGATACCCGTGCAAAAATAAAACATGGGTGCCATGCCTGTCATCACCAGGTACCACCATTCAGCCCCTACATGATGGAGCACTAGCGCCGTGAACCAGGGTCTGATGGATGGGGGCATGGCAAACACGCCCAGCAAAGCACCACGACCGCGTGCAACGTTTGCCTCAAAAACCCATTCAGACTTCGCAGCAGCTTGCAACACTGGTGAACTCACCCAACACCCAAGGAGGTGCAACCCAGCGCCTAGAGGATACAGGAGAAGTCAGGAGCAGGTCAACATTGTCACTGCCACCTGAGAAGACATCTAAGATAAGTAGAGGTTTCCTGGGGCTTGTTGGGAGAGGCAGGAGGAGAAAAGATGGCTAGAAAGGAAGTCTGGGACAGAGAAGGGCATCAGCAAATCACTGTGGGAGCAGTGTTGTCTAGGGGTTAGAGCAGCAACTGGCAGACAGACCTGAATTTGATTCCCCAGTAGTGGCACTGACTCTCTGTTATGTCACATAACTGCTCTGTGCCTCAGTTTCCCCCATCAAACAACAGAGTAATGCTACTTAGCCCCCATTTGTAAGGTGCTTTGAGATCCTTGGAAGAAAGGCGTGTAAATGCAGAGTATCAAGGTAGTATTTACTGTCGTAACAGATTAAATGCGTTTCCTAGCCATAAATACCTCCAAGCGCCCAAAGCAATTGCTGCTAGATGTTCTTGCTAGTGTTGTAACCAACAAACAATTAGTACATTGTGTCCCAGGAGACCCTGCCAGGGAGCAGGGCCTTAGGTTAAGTAGTCACCCGAACCTGCTGGCCAGCTGCCCTGAAACCCGCAGCGCTTGGAAGGGAAATGCCAAGTGAAGTCACGTCACGGCTGATGAGAGCTGGTCGTATAAACACACTAGTTCCACCAATGCCGGTCCATTAGCACTGCTGATGGGGTCACAGATTGCAAATCATTAAGGGCTCTCTGCTCACTTGGAACAAACGCCAAGAGCAATTCAAACCCATTTGCAAAGTTAGGAAAGGGCCACATGTTACCAGCATATGAAATCTGACACGGCTGATAATGGGGAAATGGCTTATGAATGGACATAGAGACAAATGTCACAATCAGGCTGATATCAGTCTGGAATCATGAAAGGTTAGTGAAGGGTGGAAAAAGATCTGGTACCAGTAAGATCGAATTCCAGCTTCCATTCTTTTTAGTAGCGCATACATTTTTCGTGTTCCTTTGAGACTGGAATTTTCCAATCTTGGCATCGTCCCAATGCTGATTATTATTTTTATTTTTTAAGTGTGAGGAAAATTGTTCCAACCAGCTCACTTCTGAGTTACGTGAGTGCATGTGGGAGGAGAGAAACTGCACTTTTCCTATTTTGTGCCAACCATAAAGTTTGCACTCAGCTAACTCAACGAGCAGAAGCAAGGCACTTCAAACTTGTCTTGTTTTACAGATCAACAGTGTGCCCTTGTTGCCAAGAAGGCTAACGTCATTTTGGGCTGTATAAGTAGGGGCATTGCCAGCAGATCGAGGGACTTGATCATTCCCCTCTATTCGACATTGGTGAGGCCTCCTCTGGAGTACTGTGTCCAGTTTTGGGCCCCACACTACAAGAAGGATGTGGAAAAATTGGAAAGAGTCCAGCAGAGGGCAACAAAAATGATTAGGGGGCTGGAGCACATGACTTATGAGGAGAGGCTGAGGGAACTGGGATTGTTTAGTTTGCAGAAGAGAAGAATGAGGGGGGATTTGATAGCTGCTTTCAACTACCTGAAGTGGGGTTCCAAAGAGGATGGATCTAGACTATTCTCAGTGGTACCAGATGACAGAACAAGGAGTAATGGTCTCAAGTTGCAGTGGGGGAGGTCTTGGTTGGATATTAGGAAAAACTTTTTCACTAGGAGGGTGGTGAAGCACTGGAATGGGTT